TCCTGTGACAGCCCCATAAAACCTTTCAGGTGCTGGCGTCCAAGGTGGTTGGCTACTATGGCAAGGCTGGAATGCATGATGCAAGTGATTGTGAGTTGTGGAAGCTGAAACGCTTGCTATCTGGCCGTTGATGGGACCATGCCACGTAGTGTGTACGGACTCTAGTGACTAGTGAGTGGATGCGCAAGAATTTCTTGACCTGGCCGCAATCAACATATGTGTGTTCAAGATCGAGTCCCTTAGTGCTGCAGTGGTGCTTCCAGGCAGAGTGCCAGAGACAGTCGCCGAGAGCAATGGGAAAGTCGAGGAAGAGCGCTCGTGTGAGTGATCAGATGATGTTCCCAATGCCGGGGGCAATGAACCCAGCAATGGGAATGAACAACCCACTGGCCATGATGAACCCTTTCATGTTGCAACAGCAGCAACAGATGCAGCAGCAGCAACAGATGCAGCAAATGCAGCAGATGCAGCAAATGCAGCAACAGCAGCAGATGGCTGCTGTGGGTGAATCAAGGCAGAGTGCCAACGACTCCTCCTCGTCGGAATCAGAAGACCAAGAAGTGAGGAGGATTCGTAAGGAAACCAAGAAGAACAGAGCAAGGCAAGCAGCAACGATCGGGATTGATCGGCTGGCAACGTCCACTACCGATGCAGATGCAATCCCGAGAAGCGCCACGACATTGCGTTCGATCCCTCTGGCTGCTTGTCAATCAACAGAGTATCCCTAAGGTCAGCAATGATCCCTGAACCCTCCCCCCACAAAGCCTAGATAAGCCTTACTGACTGAGGTGAAGGTGAAAGCTCTGCTCGAGCGAGTTCATAGTGCATGGGATGCTGCGGTCACGGCTGACCTGCCACAACAAACAGCGCTGCAACTGCTCTTCATATTGACCAATCTGAAGCCGACCACAAAGGTCAGTGAACTCAGGGTCGATATGAAATACAGCTTGCTTGGTCAGCGATGTGAGAATGCCCATAGGCGTCAATCCGTCTGCGATAGCAGCTAGTCTAAGGGTCGTGTCTTTTGCAATACAATTCCTTGCAAGGTGTCTTGCTCCTTGTTGATGCTCCCCACATTTTTATATATGAGGGGTTCTGAGTTTCGGACCGCACGGATGTGAAGCATGGAGAGTTTATACTTGGAGGTTCATGGGTAGTTGTAAGTGCGGTTATAAGTCCCCTAATATGGGCTCTTCGTGTACCTGGAAGTACTCCCGACTTTGGGTACGCTCCTGAAGATGGATGCACAGCGCATGAAGCGGGCTATTCTGATTGGCTCGGCCACCCGTCTGCCAGTAAAGGGGTTTCAAGAGACCTTGCAAGCCAAAACAACCCAGGGATTTTTTCAGAAGTGCGATCGGCCCCGCAGCCGTTTTGCATGTTGCATGAAGTTGCATGTGGTGCTGCTATACTGCGCAGCCTTTTGTGTAAACTTGCTGCTTGTATGTGACTCAGTTGTGCTGCATAGTTTTTCGCGACCGCAGCTTCCTCGACGACATGACACACAAATGACTTCAGTAAGACCAGAAGTTGCGAGTGATGCCTTGGAAGTTCTGAGGTCGTTCAACGTTTTTTTTTTTTTTTTTTTTTTTGGGGGGGGGGGGTTTTGGCGGTCCTTCTCTGCGTCGTCTTCGTTCATTCGGGTGGAGGTTGGTCGTGTGATGGGGTATCCAGACCCCGTGTCACTCCTTTGGCGGGGGCACTCTCATTTTTTTCGGGTCTTCTCCCCCAAAATTCATCTTTTTGTGACGTGGCCCCTTTTCCCCCTTCGTTGGTCGTGGGCTCGGCCCGGGCGGGAGGGGGTGGCTTTGTTTTGTTTTGGGTGCCCTTCGTTTGAAAACGTGCCCTTTCGTCTCTCTCGTTGTTCTCTCCTCTCTCGCCTCTCCCTGTTTTATTTTGTCATTTGCATGACACAGGTGCAGAAGGCAGCTGCGCTCTCGCATGGTAGTTGCTGCGAGTTTTTTGTTGTTCTTTCATTGCGGGATTCTTGGAGGAATCGACGCGTGTGCGATGAGGTGCTGCTTGGTAATTTCGGTTTTTTGCGGTTTGTGTTCGGATGTAGTGCGACTCGTGCATGGCCTCTCCAGGGCGGCTCGAGCGGTGTGAAAGGTTGTAGTGTTTTTTTTGGTCTGTTGCTAGCCTGTAGGCCATGGATGACGCACAGAAACGTGTCAATGCAGTCTTCCGAGTTTTCCTCGAAGACTTGGAAGAGGATGCATACTTGAGGCAGAGTTCTAAGTATGACGATGGGGTGTCACCAGGGTCTGTCAGCCCCCGCAGCTCAGCTGGGACTCGCTCTTTCTGCGCTAACTCCCCGCGAACTACAGTCTCGAGGTCCCGATCCCCTTTGCCGCGTAATAGGCTGCGCTACAACGTGGGCGAGGATGACTTTGATGCCAGAGTAACTCGTGCTCTGCAACCTAAGCTGCTAGCGCTCGGGCAAGAGCTTCGCTTGGAGTTCCAAGGGATGCTTCGGAGTGCCTTGGCTGAGGCTTGTGGCACTCTGTCCCAGCCAAAGTCCGTAGGGCCAGCTCTGTCAGCTCCAGCATGCGATGGCGCCCCCGCTGGCCCAAGTGCTGGTGAGAGCGAAGCTCGGGAAGTTCATGACTTGCAGGTCTTGAAACTGGATAGTGAGATTTTGAAGGCCCTTGATAACTTCTCATCGAAGATCAGCAGCTTGCCTCCGGCCCCTCGTGCGAATGTGACGGCAGTGTTTCACCCCAGCCCACCGGTGAAGAGCTCCCAGGAACTTAATAGCAGGGTCTCGGCGCTTGGCGTTGTGATCCAGGGTGCTCTAGGCGTCCAGCTTGGAGGAAAATACCCTTATGGTGTGGTCGGAGGCCAAAAGGGCCAACCCAGTGTGACAATCCATTTAACTGCTTCGACCAAGGTGACAGCGCAAGTCCACAGTCGCTTGTGCCAAGTTGTATTCAAAGGCCGCAGGTCTGTATTCACTATGGAACTTATGCGAAAGGTAGTTCCGTTTTTTGGGCCTGTTGTTAGCTTGATGAGTGGGGCATCTGATAGTTGAGCCCTGCATCGCTGCTGCGGAGCGCCCTGTAGGGCAGCAATTAGCAGTGAGCTCCTTTAATTATGTCGTGGCTTGCCACGTGGACGTGCATGTTGACATGCGTGCTAAACCGCTATGCTGGCGATGCAAACGGTGCTTGAGTGCTCGCTTTGTCCGCCCGGCATGCTCTGCCCAATGGATGCGCCATTATAAGTGCTGTTATAAGGTTGCTTGTCTTTGGTGCCATGTGGATTGGCCTTTCGGCTGGAAGTGTGGAGTTTGGAGTCTGATGCTTTGGAGGGCCTCATGGCCTAGCGTTGGAGCTGCCGCGTTCGTGCCTTGGGTGGCCTTTCAGGCCGTGCCTTGGATTATTATTTAGGTTTTTGTTTTTTTTTTTAGTATTTTTGTGCCTTGGGTGGCCTTTCGGCCCGTGTCTTTGAGCCTTGGGTAGCCTTTTGGCTCGTCCTTGGGATCCGTGGCTCTTGCGGTACCGCTGGTGGCCTCTCGGTTGGCATTTTCGTGCCTTGGGCGGCCTTCCGGCCCGTGCCTTGGATTAGTATTTCGGTTTTTCTCGGCCTGTACCTTTGCGCCTTGGGTAGCCTTTCGGCTCGTCCTTGGGATCCTTGGCTCTTGCGGTGCAGCTGGTGGCCTTTCGGCCCGTGCCTTGGATTATTTTTTAGTTTTTTTTTTTTTTTTTTTGTGCCTTGGGTGGCCTCGCGGCCCGTGCTTTCGTGCCTTGGGTGGCCTTTAGGCTCGTCCTTGGGATCCTTGGCCGTTGCGGTGCAGCTGGTGGCCTTCCAGTTGGCACTTTCGTGCCTTGGGTGGCCTTTCGGCCCGTGCCTTGGAGTGTTATTTCGTTATTTATTATTATCTTTTTTTTTTTTGTCGTTTCGTGCCTTGGGTGGCCTCTCGGCCCGTGCTTTCGCGCCTTGGGTGGCCTTTCGGCAGCTGGTAGCCTCTTGGTGGGCACTTTGCCCTCTGCGCCTTGGGTAGCCTTCCTGGGATCCTTGGCCGTTGCGGTGCAGCTGGTGGCCTTCCAGTTGGCTCTTTCGTGCCTTGGGTGGCCTTTCGAGCCGTGCCTTGGAATATTCATTATTTATACTGTTTTTTTTTTTTTTTTTTTTGTTCTGCCTTGGGTGGCCTTTTGGCCCGTATCTTTGCGCCTTGGGTAGCCTTTCGGCTCGTCCTTGGGATCCTTGGCTCTTGCGGTGCAGCTGGTGGCCTTTCGGCTCGTGTCTTGGATTATTGTTTATTTTATTTTTTTTTTTTTGTGCCTTGGGTGGCCTCGCGGCCCATGCTTTCGTGCCTTGGGTGGCCTTTCGGCTCGTCCTTGGGATCCTTGGCGCTGGCGGTGCAGCTGGTGGTCTCTCGGTTCGCAGTTTCGTGCCTTGGGTGGCCTTTCGGCCCGTGCCCTGGATTGTTTTCTCGTTATTGATTATTGTTTTTTTTATATTACTTTTTGTATTTTTTTTTTGTGCCTTGGGTGGCCCCTCGGCCCGTGCTTTTGCGCCTTGGATAGCCTCTCGGCTCTTGCGGTGCAGGTGGCGGCCTCTCGGTTGGCACTTTCGTGCCTTGAGTGGCTTTGCGGGCCGTGCCTGGGATTATTATTCTATTTTTGTTTTTATTATTTATGTATTTGTGTGTGTGTGTGCCTTGGGTAGCCTCTCGGCCCGTGCCTTCGCCTCATGTGTGAGTTTTTTTTTTTCTTTTGCCAATCCTTGGTCAGTGGCCCCTCGGCTGGCGTTGTGGCCCGTTTGTCGTGCCTCGGATAGCCTTGAAGCTCGTGCCTTGGGCTCTTGCTTTTATCGTGCCTTGGGTGGCCTGTCGGCCCGCGCTTTCGAGCCTTGTAGCTGTAGTGTGCCTGTTTATGTTTGTTGCATGTTCCATAGAGGATCTGTCGCCCAGGTTGCTTAATCTGTTGCCTTTGCTTCGCCGTTGCTTCCGCCCAAGCCCCCTTTGGTGCTGGTTGTGACTCTTGGGTTTAGGGACCATGGATGTGCCAGGCGAGCAGCACGTGAAAGTATGTATAGATGAGTTAAGCGCTGTGGCGACTGCGTGGTTGGCCCAGAATCCCAAGCAATTGGAGCTTAATGCAGCTCTCAAAGACTTCCAGGGCCTTTATGAGTTGGCGCCCCAGAATCCTGGCAACTTAGCGACAGATGGGCGCAGGCGGTTCGCACGCCTGCAGCCCCTTGCGAGCTTTGTTGCGAGCCTGAAAGGATTTCTGCATGATACATTGATACCGACTGCAAAGTCTTGCGTGCGTAAAGTGTCTCGGGTGGTCTCGCCTTATTTTGGAGGTGTGCCGCTGCACGATCATAGCGACTCGCTGCCTAGTGTGGTGAATGAATCATTAACATTCGCAATTCTCAACCCTGGAAGAATTGGGCTCTCCACAGTTGCCGGTGAAGACATTTTGTGGTGGCGTTTGTTTCATATTTGTTCTGTGTTGGTAGAGCGAAATATCCAGATTTGTGTTTTGCCGGGGGCGAGATGGCCACCTGGTAGCACACTGCCACCTGGAATTCCCTTCAAGTGGCTGGGCGTGCAAACGTCTTCCTGGGGAGCAGTTGGGGTCCTGGTGGCTACTGAGTTGGACACGGAAGTCTCATGTATTGAACAGTTGGGGTCCTCAGTGATTTTGTGGTTACTAGTCCGCGGTAGTGACCGCACACAGGGGCCAGCTGTCATTCTGGGAGCGATCTACCCCAAGCCAGGAGGCGACCTGGAAACATGGCAGCAGATCTTGGATGAATACCAGCATCTAAAGACGTGCTACCCAGGAACTCGTATCTTGATCGCAGGGGATGCCAACATACACCTAGAGACGGTGGTCTCTCACCAGGCAGAGTGTCGTTGTGTACACTGCCGCCAGAGCTCCGTGGACAGAGAAATTGAAAGACGAATTGTTGCCGCGGGCCTCGTCTGTTACAACCCGCCTAAACCCACGCATGTAAGCGGCACAACTATTGATCTGGTGCTCGGGGCAGGTGATGCGAATGTCCCGGTCGAAGTTATCGAGGAATCTGTGGGTTTGTCTGATCATTTTTTGGTTATTGCCAGGTGCCCTGCAAGGCTCCAGGCTTCGTTTCCTACATCTGTGGGCCGAGTCATGTGGGCACTGTCGTCCGAGTGGGATACCGTTTGTGAAGATGCTAGCTCGGCTTTTGCTTTGGCTGTCTGCGTCATATCTGAAGCCCAGAATGAGATTGATGAGTTTGGCCATAACATGCCGATCAAACGCAAGCGTGCCGTTTTGGATGCGGGAGCTTGGATTCGCGAAGTTTTCATTTGTATCCTTGGCCATTGCGCAGGCTTAGTGTACGCCAGGAAAGGAGCCCAGAAAGAGCAACCTTGGACGGCAAGTTTCCCACAGGTTCAAAATTTCGCTTCTTACGATGATTATAAGCATGCTGTTGCTGAATTTGATGCAGCCACGAAACGAAGATGTGTCAACAAGTTCTTGTCACTGCTGGCGTCCAACCCCAATGAAAGCAAGAGGTTCCTTTCTTCCTGGTTTAAGAAGCCCAACGATTTTCATATCCATCTTACAGATGAAGACTCCGACCAGTTGCTCAGTACACAGGAGGCTTTGTTGGAAATACAGCAGGATTTGATCGATAGAGCAGACAACGATTTCCCACAGGATCCTGGGTCGGCACAGGCGCTACGCGACACCGTGGTTGCCATTCGCCGGTTTGGTGCACCCGCCCGGGGCATTCCCGGCATCATGGTTGTCCCGACAGTCAACACTGGCACAAACACTGCACTGTATAGTTGGTCTGAGTTTGAAGCTGTTTTGGCCAACATCAAAGTCAAGAAGCAAAGCGCATATGGACCATTGGCAGCAGTGAAAGCTGCTGCTCCCGCCGCTCGTGCATTGACCTTTGCTTTAGTCAACCTGGCAAGGGTTTGCGAGCTGACTTCTTCCCTTTGGTGTGTCAGGCGTATTACGCCTTTGCGTAAGAAGGGACCTAAAGTGGTTAGGAAGATTGTAAACCTTCGGCCTATCAGCATCGCTTCGGATATTGCGACTGTCCAAGACGCTTTGTGGCTAGGTCGGTGCCAACCAGTGTTGGAAAATTTCACTGGCTGTAATCAACTTGGTGGTAAGTTTGACACAATGTCTGTGGTGTTGGCAGTTGTGCTTCATGTCCAAATCAGGCACATGCAAGACCTGAAGACATACCTGCTTTTTGCAGACCTGCAGGCTGCATATGATACAGCTGGCCACGATGCCCTATTGGCGGCTTCCTATTGCGCGGGTGTTGTAGGTGTTGAATGGAATTTGCTCTGGGATTTTATTCACATGGATTCTGCTACGGTGTCTCTCAGTGGGCTGATCTCTGATGCTGTCAAGTTTCGTGCTGGTATCCCGCAAGGTAAGCGCTTCGCTGTACATGTTTTCACTGCACTCATGAATCTTCTTCGCGAAGTGTTGACGTCGTTTTGCGTCCCTGCCATGACTATCCTGCCCCCATATGCAGCAGAAGCAGTGTCGGGCCTTTGGACGGGCCTCACGCCAGTCCCCGAGATCTGCAGATTGAGCCCTTGCTATTCTGCGCCTCAAATTGTTTTGAGATTGCGCTCGCTCCGTGATGAGGGTGTTGACCTCGCGTTCTGCAGAAGAGTAGCCATTCATGATATTGCTCGCCTTCGTGATGTCAGTGAGCGCCAGCATGTGGTGGAGCTCCTTGGTCACTCCCCACTGGGGGCCCTACTGTTTGTGGATGATGTGGTTGCTTCTTTTGCGTCTGAAGTCACTGTCTGCCATGCCGCTACGGAGGGTTTGCAGGCCTACGCTACTGCTGTTAAAGCTGAGTTCAATATGGGGCCTACGAAGACTGCTATCATGCCGTGCTTCAGTGCCCCAGATGTGCCGCTTCGCAGCATTATGTGTGAGAACTACAAGCTGTTAGGGGTCCAATTGGAGAGAGATTTTTCCTTCAAAGCCAGGGCCGATTTCATATGTCGCGCCGGGCAGGGCTTGTTCACCGAACTTAAAGGCGTGGCAGGCCAAGCAGGCTTTCCGCCGCCAGTACTCTCCATTGCTGTCATCGAGCGCATCGAGCCGGTGATGTTATATGCCGCTGAACTGTTACCTCTTGTGCCGGACATCTACGGGAAACTTAACACACTGCAAGCGTCTTGGGCTAAATCCATCCTGGCAGATAAGGCTGGTGCGGCTATTAGGGGTGTCTTGGCAGTGGCAACGGTGGGATGGAGCCTCCGGCTTGCGTCAAAGGCAAAGATCCGCGCTCTTGTCTATCTGGCCAAAATCCACCTGCTGCCTCTTGAGCATCCCGTTGCTCGTATGACAGCCCTTGCCCAGACGTTGGTGTCTGGCACATGGCTGCATGCGGTGCAGGATCTCCGAAGACAACATGGGGACTTGCCGCTATTGCAAGATTCTGGAGTTTGCAATCAGGAAGAAGTGCTTGCAGCCAGAATGGACAAATCGATCCGGAAGAGTATTTTGGCAGCTTACAAAAAGCATGTGGTGGCACCCTTTTTCATTGGTTTGGACAACAAAGAGTTCCAAACAGCCGCCGCTAAGGACCTTCCAAGCCTGGGGGTCTGCTATTCTGATTTGTGTCCCCTGCGGCTTGATCAGGGTTGGGCTGGGCTGCTTCGCGCGGCTCCGTTTAGTTTGTGGGGTGCTGTCCAACTGTGGGCCTTCGTTCGCCTCACGGGCTTGTGGCCGCTACAGCTGGTTGCAGGATCGCAGGACCTGCAAAATATTGTAGCCTTCCCTAGGTGCCCCCTGTGCCAAGCGGAGGATGCCACCGTAACGCACTGTTTGAAGTACTGCCCTGCCACCCGGCCACACTTGGAAGAAAGTGGTCTGACGGAGTGCCTGCCTGTTGGCTGCTCTGACTATGAGTTCGTCATGCTGCTTTTCCACTCCAGCACTAACACTGAGGTTGACGTCCTCAGGGTGCGCTTTGTAGGCTTTGTGGTAAGGCATACAATACTGTGCTACCTGGAGAGCCTGTGATCCTGTGCCAAAACAATGATGCGTTGCAACGACCTGTCAGTTTTCTACTGAAGGTAGCGCGCAACCCATCCACGTGCCCTCACACTCTTCTGACGAGTTTGAGCGTGTTTCCGGAACAAGCATTACAAGCAAGCATTACAACCGCATAGCCAAACCGGTTCTGGGACTGGGGGTGAATATGTCTGAGCATTCTGTTGACAGGGTTGCCTTGGAGTGTGGATGGCAGTCCACATGGATGACCGAGGATGTCACGACCTATGCCAGGCGTAGAGCGAGAGCAAGGCAGTCCACTGAGACGCAGGGACGTCTCAGTTTCAATCCGAGTCCTGCTCCAGCTGCCCCGCCAACGGTTCCGCCGTCGGAAGGCAGAGTGCCAGACGTGGTCCGTTCTGGTCCTTTGCCAACGACTGCTCCTAGTTCCAATCCAAGCCAGGCTGTGGGTCGCAGCCCGGCTGGGGAACAAGGCAGAGTGCCGATTCAACAGCCGCCTGCCTCCCCTCATGCCGTTCCGGGTTCCAATGCAAGCCAGGCAACCGAAGGCAGCCAGGCTGCAGGAAGTGAACAAGACAGAGTGCCGAGGGTTGTGGAAGGCAGAGTGCCAGTTGATGGGAATGCTCCTGCCATGGATGACGATGGTCTAGCGCCGGCAGAGGCAGAGATCAGGCCCGATCAGGAGATCGTCATGCCTCCTGCAGAAGTGACCACTGCACCTCAAACAGTTGAGTTGCCAGAGCCAGACACCTCCCCGAACAGTGACTCGACAGCCGGTGCTGACGTGAATGCCGTTGTGCCCTTTGCGACACCCAAGTCGAAAGCCAAAGCAAAAGCCAAGGGCAAGTCGAAAGCCAAGGCCAAGTCCAAGGCCAGGGCTACGGCACCAAACACAGAGTCGCAGGACGAGGTCGCAGTCGAGGTCGATGATGAGGTCATGGCCGAGGCCGGGGCCGAGGTCGAGGCCGGGGCCGAGGTCGAGGCCGAGGTCGAGCGCGAGGCCGACGACAGTGCCTTCTTTGAGGAGGAGGAGGAGGATGCTCCGAATGAGTCGAGCAGACCTGCGAACCGGTGGAACCAGTACCTCTGTGTCATTTGCCATTCGGAGATGCACCCGGGCCAGGCAGGCTGGTTTCGTTTGCCTTTGGTTAATGAACCATTGATAGTGGTGCCTGTCCTGTTTGTACATTCCACTAATCCTCAGAACAGTACCTCTCACATGACGTGTCTTTTTCTGTTGCTTCCCTGGAATGCAGGCATTGGAAGCGCTATCGTGTGCCCACCTCTTTCACAGCGAATGTATCAATCGATACTGTGAGTCGACCGGGCGGAACAAGGCCACCGCTTGCCCTCTCAAGTGTGCGAGCTCAGCCTCTATGGCAAGGTTCTTTTTGGGTCCGAGGGGGTCCACGGTAAGCAATGCCCCTGTTCCTGTC